AGATGTGTCAGGAAAAACTATCATGTAGTTGGGATCAGAGAACCAAAATAATAGCCTGGTCCCCGATTTGTCAAAGGATTTGCTTCAAATTTAAGATGCATCAGGTATTATCAAGGAAGATGACTAATTTCAGAGGTCTCACCTTGACTTTTGAATGTCTACTATTTGAGTATCATTCTGGCAGAGCAAATGTTTTGGTCACTGTTGGTGAAGAACGTCTGTCCCCTTCCTCCATTTTAAAACCAGTAACATTTAGGTTAATACATTCTTATTGGCATTTGGGTGTATTTAGAGTTAGGTTTCTGGTGAATGTTACTTTATGCTTTGCTTTACAGTGTGAAATAAGGATATTGGTAGAATTATCCTGTGGTGCAATTTTTGTTTATGTGTTGTGCTGTAGAGAAGCATCAAAGCTATTACTAAATGGGCCAATCTTATTATTTTGAATAATAATATTTTTTTTTCTTTCAAATGCCTTATCACTCAGAATTTGGACTCAGATTTAATTCAGTTACCATAACAACTGCTTCCTAATTTCTCCTTTCCATTTCCAAATGTAAATTATAATATCTGTTTTCATTCCAACATAAATTTCAAAAATCTTTTTATAAATAGCTTAAAAATATATATAACTCCATTCTTCCCAAAAATTGCTTGAAGTAGCTGATTAGATGGAGTGGCTGGGTGTGGGCCCCTCTGTATCCAAAAGTCATCTCTGGCCCTGGATAGGATTGCACTATCACACACGGACCCAGTGGATAACTTAGGGGTCCTCTTGGACCCATAGCTCCTGCTCAAAGAGCAAATGGCAGCCATGGCAAGAACAGCCTTCACCCAACTCTGCCTTGTGCACCAGTTATGCCCCTTCCAGGACAGGGTGACCCTCCATACCCTGGTCATCTCCCAATTGGACTATTGCAATATACTCTAAATGGGCTATCTTTGAAAAGTATCCAGAGGCTTCAACTGGTGCAGAATGCAACTGTGCAAGTCATACTGGGTGAGCAAAGAAAGGCACATATAACACATTTGCTCCACAAACTGCACTGGGTGCCAGATTGCTTCCAGGTCCAAGTCAAGGGGTTGGTCATTATCTGTAAAGCACTACATGTCATAGGGCCAGGCTACCTACAGAACTGGCTTTGCCCCCTCATATCATCCTGTCCCCCTCATTCAGGCAACAAAGATATGCTGCAAACCCCAACAGTCAAATAATTTTGAGTTTACAGGGTCTAAAAAGAGGGCCTTTTCTGCCCTTGCCCCTGCACTGCCCTCAGAGTTGAGGAAAGCCCCAAATCTTTTGACCTTCTGCAAAGAGGTCAAAACTTGCCTGTGCGGCTTTGTGTGGGAGACAGGCCCACACAACTGTGGGGCCAGCCAACCTCATGAGAAGCCTCCGCCTATATTAACAACTATTAACCCCCCCCCTTGGAATTGTTCACCTTTTGAAATTTTATAATGTTATTTTTATAATTTTAAAACTTTTTAATACTAAATTCTGATTTTAATACTAATTTTATTGATTATATTGTACAGCACCCAGAGGGAGATGAGCAGTTAAGAAATACAAAATATAAACAAACAAACAAACAAGTTGTGGTTGGAGAGAGGGTTTCATAATTTAGAATAGAATTGGGGGAGGCAAAGAATTCTCTCCTCTTCTGGCTGTCTGAAGCTCCAGTGCCACCCAGGGTAGAAATAAACTTAAGAGAAATCATGTTAACCTCTTTTGACTTTCTGTTGCATGAGTCAAGCAAATAGTAGGCTTCTCCTGTTGTTGAGTTAGAGAAGAAGGCAGTGGACATATCTTTCCTTTCAAAATGGGGAGGAAACCTCAGGCCTATTTTCACATGCTGGTCACCATAGCTTGGTAGATTTCTTGTCATGGTGGAGAAGATAGATACTAATACCATTTTTTCTTGATCATATGAACTACAATATAATTATTTAGATTAATATATATTATCTGACAAGTTCTGTGTAAGGATGATGCAAAACAGTAATCCAAGAAAATAAATAAAATGTTAAACCATATGAAACACCTACGCTTAGGTGCAAGATTAAAATAATAACTCATGGGAACATAAAGGCAGTGTGTGTGTGTGTGTGTGTGTGTGTGTGTGTGTGTGTGTGCGTGCATGTGTGTTTCCTGCACCCATATGTTGGATTTGATTTGCTGCACAGTTCTTTCTGCACCCAACTACATCAACTAGAAGGGCAGCCTCAAATGGATAACCTTATGTCTGGATGTGGACTCTTTTTCAAAGATACGCTCTTATAATAACATGCAGGATTTACAGTTGCTTCCCAGATAAAGTTGCTTCGTCTCAAGCAAGGGCTTCCTGAGCAGAGATGCTTACTCTAGCACAGGGGTCTCCAACCCCTGGTCTGTGGACCAGTACCGGGCCGCAGCATGCCAGCAACTGGTCGGCACAAAGAAGCAAAATCCTATCCACGGGATGCAGGCAGCATACAAAACCATGCATCCTCCGGTCTGTGGAAAAACCTCTCTCCATGGAACCAGTCCCTGGTACCCCAAAGGTTGGGGACCTCTGCTTTAGCACACTGCAAAAGAAAGATCCCCACTGTTCCCTTCCTCTCTGAGTGGAAACATTATTTTGTGCAGGGAGTTCTTTGGTGGAAGGCAGACAAACAAGGAGTGGTGTGCCAAGAAGGAGGAAAAGAGAGAGATAAGAATCTCTTCCAAACTAAAGGAAATTTGCAGGAAGGAGGAGTTGCTAGGTAACAAATTGGCACAGAGGAAAAATTATTCCAAGAAGTATCTATTCTCTAAAAGAATAGACAAATATTTGTTAAGAGCTGCATTGAGCTTAATTTTTTGTGCTGTGTGTTTAAGTCCAGTTATTGCCTCTGATATTTATGATCTCGTACAAGCTCAGTCTTAGTGTGTTTTCAAAGTTTTGACTCTAGACTCTAGAAAGAGTGCAGAGGAAAGCAACAAAGATGATCAGAGAACGGTTGCTGGAACTGGGTATGTCTAGTCTAATGAAGAGAAGGACGAGGGGTGACATGATAGCAGTGTTCCAATATCTCAGGAGTTGCCACAAAGAAGAGGGAGTCAAGCTATTCTCCAAAGTACTGGAAGGCAGGACAAGAAGCAATGGATAAAAAATAATCAAGGAGAGAAGCAACCTAGAAATAAGGAGAAATTTCCTGACAGTTAGAACAATTAATCAGTGGAACAACCTGCCTCCAGAAGTTGTGAATGCTCCAACACTGGAAGTTTTTAAGAAGAGACTGGACAACCATTTGTCTGAAATAGCTGCTATGTTAAGGCAGGTGGTGAAGCAGGGATCAAATGATGCTGTGAGAGAAGGTGTAAAATTCCATTTTTTTTCTCCTTAGGGAGTAAGTCATAACACTAAACAAAACAAAAATTGGCTATTTCGAGGAACTTGGGGAGCCAGTTTGGTCTAGTACTTAAAAGCACTAGGCTAGAAACCAGGATATGTGAGTTCTAGTCCTGTCTTAAGTATAATGCCAGCTGGGTGATAATGAGCCACTCACTGTCTCTTTTATCCTTAGGGAGACAGCAGTGGCAACCACTGCCAAAAAAACGTTGCCAAGAAAACTGCATGGACTGATTCAAAGACACACACACACACACATACACACATTACACACACACAGAGGCCCAAGTATAACTTGAAGGTCCCTCTATTAATTTAAAAGATGATAAATTGTGATTTGGGTTCCCACTAGTGATAGTCTATTATTATAGGATTATAATCTGTTGGAGAGAGTAAGTAGTAATGACTCAAGGACCTTCATCCCTGTCTTCAATGCAGAGAAATTTGAATGCTGGTACAAAAATGGATATTGTGAGCAATACTGCCAAGATACCGAACATTCACGTCATGTGACCTGCTCCTGTGCAGCAGGATATA